TAAGTAGCGAGAAAACAGTTGTTGGTAACTATAATTTATAATATTTATATGCATAAAGTATACTATCGTTTGCAGGTGCGTCGATTTTCCAGGCGATTGAGGGTCCCCTGGAGCGGGAGACGGCAGAGCGTCTCGCCAGGTTAAAGCTGGATTTCCTGAGGGACCATCCTTGCCTCACAGGTTTGTGCTGTTTTTCTCACGTAAAGCGTGTACGTGTATCTTAAGTTAAATGATAAAGTGTAAACGTACAATCTAATACGTGATGACTGTTGAGATAATTCCATGTTCCTAAAAGTGTTGTCATTTGAATGAATGGATACTGGTAAGAGTTTTGCTATTCTGTAAAAAACTGCCTTAAAATCAAATTCAGTCATGACTTTTACAAGTTTTTAACAATTTTAAATGTCCAGTATATTTTGTCGTCAAGGCAACGATTATACTTACTTTGTAATGATATATTTTTATTGTAGATAAGTTTCATTTCTTTAATGTTTTACGAGTAATAAATCTTCATAAAATCTCAGGATCATTAGGATAGGTCGCATTTGTTAATTAATGTTGAAGTATTCCAAACTGTACAAAATAATTATATGGAAGCAAATTTTTATTTTCTATTAATTTTGTCAGAAGTTTTAGTTATTATGTGTCAGTATTTTGTTTCTCGACAATTGAACTCCACAGAACACAGAAAAGAGGTTTTCTGTGGATGAAATCCTTTTCATTTTTCTCTCGTGTTCCATTATTACATCGAGAAACATATAAGTTATAATTCTTACAAAAAAATGAAATAATTAAAATCCTAATAAAAAGTCAATTATTTATTTAAATTTAAATTACTAACGGAAAAATTATCGTTTCTAATTCAAACAGAAATATGAATTAATGTCTAAACAATAATACATAACTTTAGAATCAATTAAGAAATGTCAAAAACCACAAACCAATTATTGTTAGTTAACGAAAAAAGAATCAGCTTAGGTAAATTTAAGTTTTTTATTTTTGTATTCAATCTCTAAAAATTCCATTAAAAAAATGTTTTCATTATAAAGGAGTTCAAATCATTTAATATTACAAAACGTTTTCATAAAGCAGTTCAAACCATTTAATAGTAACAAATGTTAATAAATAAATGAATGGCTTAATTTAAGACAATATTGTTCAGATTCCAAATGAGCTAACGTCTTCTGTTATGGAAATCTGGAGATTCAGAATAGTTTATTTTCTACATTCACCTAACCGGCAATCGAATCTGGGACCTTAAAGACTACTACAACATTTGAAACCGGTGTGCAAGCTACAGCCCATAATACGTTATGTGTCAGTAAACTATTACAACAATGTTTATACAGAAAAAAATAATAATCAATCATGATGTACAAATAAAGATCAAACAAACACGATCTCGTTTGTGTTCATGTGGGAATATCAAAGTCAACCTATCGGTGGTGCGTGCCTTATCGTAAGTGTGTACACACCCTTACCAGTTTATTGTTCATACTTATTATTTCTTTCGTTTGATTATCGTCTTAGTCGAATTAGATGCTATTTGTCCGTAGACACTTTGTAAAGTTAAAAATATTGTAAAGTTAAATTCTGGAACACAGCTTCTATAGTGTGTTTAAGAAAATCGTATGATAATCCATTATCTATATAAACAAAAATGAATTTCCGGTCGTTAGTCTCGCTAAAACTCGAGAACGGGCGAACCGATTTGACAAATTTTAGTCTTGAAATATTCGTGGAAGTCCTGGGAAGGTTTAAACGATGATAAAATATGACAAAATTGCGAGTATAATACTAAAAACGACAATTTGACTTTCCCATACAAACTGTTATTAGCTGTCAAACGTTCAGTTGATCAATATCTATGGTCGACTAGTGGTCAGTTTACGCAATATTTTTAATATTAATATGGTTTTTATTAAGAGGTAAGTCAAAGTCAAAATAATCTTTATTCACATAGACTTCTTAAAAGTACTTTTGAATCGTCCAACATTTTTTTCCCTACCGCTCGTTCAGGACGTCTTTTGGCTGATAAGAAGAACGAGCAAGAAACTCACCAGCTTTAATAGGAGTAATGACATTTACAAAAACCATGCCATTACCAGATCAATACATTATAAATAAAGAGAAAAAAAAAAGCAACTATGGTTTTATAATGATAACATCATCATTTAATAATAATGGAAGCAAGATAATTTTTGATATATAATGAGTTAAGAAGTAATCACCTATCCAGTTGCTGGATCATCTCAAGTCCAAGCATTCTTATCTGTTATATAATCTGATACCTTATAGTAAGCTTTTTTAACGAAGTGATACGAAGTTCACCGGGTCAGCTAGTAAAATATATAGAACTAGCTTACCGCCAACGGCTTCACCCGCGCGCTCCTGTATTATACATATATAAACCTTCCTCTTTGAATCATTCGATCAGCCCTGCAATTCTGTAAAAAATCAAACCCGAATTCAAATTCACTCATGTGTCTAAATTCACTACAAAAAGCGGCATCTTCTCAACCTTGAATTGGTAATAACGTTACGTGGCAACAAGAGTTTCGAAATGACATAGAAATAAAATATCTGAGACACATTTATTCAATTAAATTTGTTTTGTATCTTTATACAAAAAATGGAATCAATAGAATTTCTACACTAAACGACGTGAATACGGACACATGAGTTAATGATCTAACTAGATGTCGCTACGGTACGTTCTTAATTTCTCCATGACAACCCTTCCGGTTTTCTTTCATGTTTAAAAGTAAATTAGTTTTCAAAACTCAATAAACAACTCATATTTTATTTGTACATTTTCGTATTTGTATTGATATCTATGTTTCGAACTTTTCAAATTTCAGTTTTTTAATATGTAAGTTAAAAGGAACAGAAATGACTATATTTGGTCCATTCGTTTCCTGCAAAAATCTACTTTTGCTAGATTCGCCATCTAGTGGAGGTGCTTATTTAGTGCTTTCATTTTTTTTTAAATACTTCCTCATTCTAATTCGGGTCTGCATATTTACAGAATCGTAGGGCAGTTGTTGAAGACCGCATTATCATCCGTTGTGTAGTTTAAAATATCTCAACGTACAGACAGCGGAAAGCGACTTTGTTTTATAATATGTACCTAATATTTGCACGCACATTCTCAGTTAGAACAAAATAAATAAATAAAGATCTCGATGAGCTCGATGGCGCAGCGGCTAGCGCGATCGGTCTGCGATAGTGTCGTTGAAACTACTTTTGCAGTGGCCGGCCACAGGATGGGTGACCAAAAATTTATTATTCATCATAAATGCAGAATTCTCCCATTTAATTCGATTCCATCCATAGGGAACGCATGAGCTCCAGCAGTGGGGAAATTACTAGGCTGGTGATGAAATAAAGATCTTGAATTCAATGTCCTCTTATATATAACGACAACATGAAACCGGCTGATAATGGAAATATAATACGAAGTAACATTAGTTAATGGCAATTCGATCATATTATATTTGACCTCCCTAATGATGTCATACATTTACTTATAATATCTTTGACATCGGGTGTAATATGTTATCATATTAATTACTGGACGCTTTATGAACTATGTTTGTTAATATTTTCTTGTAAATAGGGACTGAGACCTACAAATATTAGATAACATCATTTACATTACTCCGAACTGTAATTATACATAATCACTTCTAATAATCACAAAATAGCATTTAATGATATGGCCTAAGCATTATAAATTATAATAGTTTGTGTAATTGGTATATTATACTTATTTTTTTTTTCACTTTTTTATATATCGTTAATTTGTCCTTATTTATGTTGCATTATATTTATACTCTGGAAGGATTTATCTGCCAACTTTACAGTATTTCCTAGTGTTCGAACTTATGTTTGCTAATTGTAATGTGCTGAACGATAAACATAAAAATATTATTAACTGTAGATAAACAATTCGAAAATACTGTCTGTATGTACATACATACACATCATTGAGCTATTTAAACATAAAACCTTTGTTATCGTCATAAAATTAACAACTAAAGCTTTACAGCTGTATGTAATGGGCCGTCAAGTTCAGGTAGTTAACTTAAACAAAGCCTAACAAAGCCTTTTCATAGGTAGGATAATGTTGCATTGTTAATGAGTCACTTCAGTATAATAAATACTCGTTTACAAATTATATGAATTAAGAAACCAAAAACGTTTCCGAAAAAGTTTAAAAAACCACAAGTGTGGTTTACAAATTTGAAATAACATTAACTGAATTCGCGAGAAGACTTTCTGGCCATATTTCAAATCAAGTTGCTTAAACTCATAACTACCTCTGTAGATAATAGTCTTTAATTTTCGTTGTAGTTGATTTTTGTTGATTTAAAAAAATAGTTTTACTATTTTACTGAATAATAGTGTGCCAACTAAAAATTTTTTTAAGTTTAGAAGGTAATACTGGTCGAAGACTATGAATATAATTATCAACGAAATATGTAATAAGATAATTGATATAATTTTTCTAGTTGTTTTGATATGCTTTCGAATGTAAAAAGAACCATCAAAATCGGCAAATACACTCTTAAAAAAATATGAGACACATTAAAAACACAGCCGCAATTTTACAGTTGATTAAAATCAATGTTTTTTTTTAAACGTAATTACAATTCTTGAATCTACGAATCAAAAGGTATTTGTGCTGTTACTAAACAAAGAGTCAGAAACATTTCGAAGAATTAAAGTCTACAGGTATTTAAAGCAAATTAAAGCTACTTTAATTACACTTAACTTGAATTCATTGTACTAAAACACGACTTAGTTCTATTTATTTCTTTGCTCAATAGAAAAAACAAAGTCAATAGTGTTTTGGAAAGAAAATAAAGATACAGATAAGATTATATTCGTTATAACTCGTTAGCTAAGCTATATCGTTTATTTAACGTTTAGGGTCTTCAAGGTACATTTCGAAATACCGTCCGATACAGTATAATAACACTGTGACTGATAAACGTATTTTATTTGCCGGTTCCGATCAAAGTGAGTCAGTTAACCGTCGTCGTTCGCTCGCGTCGATACTCCACTCAAGCGCATCTAAGGCTTCAGCCGTGTTCGATTACAATAGTAAAACACTAAAATGTATAAAGATGGTGATTCTTAAACTCGAGAAATGCCGTTGTGATACTAATGTGACCGAGATATTCGCGTTGTTTTTCGAACCTAATCATCCTAAGAGATTTTATAAGTACAGTTGACCAAAGTCCCAATAGTTCCGGGATCTTTGGTTTGTATTCTGGAACGTTATCAGTGAATCCGACAAGCCAGCTACATAGTTTAAAAAAAGTGTTCGTTTTGTACGTTTCAAAAATTTCGTATTTGGAATTCGATTAAAAACTTTGACGTTTTATTTTTTCTTCAAAAAATGGAGAAGGTGAGGTATCCGAGGATTCACTCTTATGGGAGCATGAGCTCTGGGCGAAGCGATGATGACATGACAGTTCACAGTCAGTTGTTTCCATACTCGAAAAAGATGCAGATAGAGAGAGAAACACTGTACGAAGAAGAACATCCACCATTCCAACCTCTATTTGCTACTTCGAAATATTTTGGGAAAGCGAGGTTCACTTGCCTGCTTGTGATTTATATATTTTTCTATTTAGTCTATCTGATATCTGGCGCCTTTGTGTTCTCTGCCTTGGAAGCGCCGTTGGAGAATCAGATCAGACTTGACGTCATCAGGGCCAAACAAGACTTTATGGTCCGCCACCCTGATGTGACAGGTAAATAAATGACTTTATTTTGTTATTAAGTTTTTATTACAACGAAATGGAGAATTTTAATGATTTGAACTTATTAATCTTATCGCTGGGCGTAATTACGAAAGACAAAACGAGAACATCAGCGCGACCTTCAATGATAGTGCATTGAGCGTCAAAAACTATTACGTATTGATAAAACGGAAACTATTTTGATTATTGCAATTTTTTTTGTAAAGGCCTCGCTTTCAAAATTTATACATATGTTTATCAATTTTACCTATAAAAAAGTATCATTAACTACCAGAAGAAATGGAAAAATTTTAAGGGTTTCTTGTTTCAAATTTTTACGAGCGTGATTTAGGTATAGTCTGATTTTTGGGTTTGAACTTATTTTTTATTAAATTATTTTTTTATCGGTTTTATTTAAGCAAAATTGCAAGCAAACGCTATCAATATATATATATATATATATATATTTGAAATCTGCTTATTAAGCCCTTTCATTTGATACACTACACGGAATGGTTGAATAATATATATTTTTTAGTTTCTTACTTTATGCTCTCTAAATGGCGCTGTTGTCAAGTTGATGTAAGGTCATATAGCCTATAATTACACGGACAACTAATACGCTTCTTATGATACCTCATTTGTCCAGTTACGATGAGTAGTTTCGAAGTTATAAGAGAACATATGAACATTCTTACGTACATACCGGTCAAAATCATAACTCTCCTTTTCGCTTCGCCGTAGTCGGGTAAAAAATTCTTAGGAATAGCGTATTGCTTTCCTCACAATGACAGTTAAACATTTATATTAGAAATACTGGGATCTTAATATAAAACTTATATCATTTGTAAAAGCATATCGATAATAACATAAAACACAATCACTAAGCCTGAATTCGAGCAACAAAATTGGAAAGTCGAGTCGAGTCGTATGTCGCAATAGATAATTAATTTAATCATCACTCGGAGACAAACATTATTAATAATTAGCTCTCATAGTTATCTATACGGCACAGATTTTGACCAACAATGAGATCATTGTTAGTATAATTAAAACTGTTTTGGATTTCATATCACTACATAGTATAAAAAAATCGCTTCCTCTGTATGCTTAAATTTTTAAAACTACGCAACGGATTTTGATGTGGTTTTATTTCATATATAGTTTGATTCAAAAGGAAGGTTTTTATGTATAATACAAGACCACGAGGGCGAAGCCGCTGGCGGAAAGCTAGTAGACAATAATTTAAATAAAAAAAGTTGATACTAATATTATAAAGAAGAAAGATTTTATTGTTAGTTTGCAAAGAATAAGCTCCAAAACTACTGGACTGATTCTAATATTCTTTCATCTACGGCAGAATATCATACGCGGGCGAAGTCGCGGAATAGCAACTAGTTTTTAATAAAACTTCGTAAATTTTTATGGATATTTTACAGATAACTACGGCAACTTTATCTTTTATACACATATGAGTTCATTGTATGTCTATTTAATGTTCTGAGCTAAAGTAAATCCTAATTATGGTTAACAAATTAACAATACAAAAGAGTTCCTATGTATGTATTTGTTTATCAACATTTACCATGACTCAGAGGTAAAATCTAAGATTTTCCGAGTTCCATTTATAGGTATCATTATGATGGTAAAAGTTCCAAGTAAACCGCGCTCAAGCTTTTGCCATTAAAATTTATACATCAATGTTACTAATAAACTAGGATTAACGTTGTGTTACGTTAATTAGCGTTGGAGTAAATTTACGCTGAGACTGCACTTAGTTTAGTCAAAATTCATATTATTAAACAGAAGAGTAACAAAGGTTAACCTAGATATTACGAGGTTGTAATATTTTATTTTCTGTATAATTTAGACTATATTCTAATTGCAATTTTAGCGTCATATTACTTTGCATCTTTTTTATTAATTGCAATGACTTATAAAGAAAAATCCTAAAATTAAACTTGTTTAGGTATTTTATAGTAACATATATGACAAAAGAGGCAACTATTAGATAAGTAAATCATCAAGTACATACCTACTTAAACATATTTTCTTAGTACTACTTCAACGACATTACCACATGCTTTAATTAATTTTCCACTTAATGTATAATTATTAATTTTAGCGTAGGTACTTAGTTTAAATGAGCACATTAGATGTTCTATCAACTAAGTTGCTTGTTACGATTGATATCTTATCTGGTTACTTTAGATAAGTACTTATACGATCAATTGAATCTAAAATGTGTTATAATTTACTCTGTGCTATTAATATTAAATAAGACGATTAATATTATATAAATTACTTAATCATTATATTCGATCATTTAACATTAAAAATGTTACTAATTAAGTATGTTTCAAGTTTATAAAGTCAGTAAAAATTTTACAAATACCACTTTAAATAATTCTCGAAGTACAATATGAGATATATACATGACACTTTATGTATTGTCTTCTCAAATGCGCTTAAGAACGAGTACATTTTATTATTATTAGCTTGATATCAAATTTTCTTGAGTTTTGATATAATTAACGAAAACGCATATGCTTTTAGAGAAAACTGGTTTAACAAGTTGTGACATTATCATTTGGGTTTCATCCAATCTATTTATATGTGTACATTTAAAACCAGTTTTAAAACTACTCTGTGACAAAAACAACAATTTCGTTGTGAAAGTATAAATAAGTGGAATCCCGACAATTTCTACTTTACATGGATTTATAATTATGTAAGAAACATTAGACATGTTGATTTCTTATATTTTCATGCTCTCTATCCATAAATGAAACCTTTTAAAAGTTGTTTAATTTCCAGTAGACAGTTAATATTTCCATCCCATTAATTAATCTTATCTTTGGGGCCAAAGTTTGGGGCTAAAGTACCTATTTTCAATAAGATCCCACAATATAATGTCACATAAGTTAGTACTTACATGTCTAATTAATTAGCTCAATGACTTAGAGCTTGTTTATTGTTTCGTCTAATATAGGAACATAGAATAGATGAAACTGACACACTATTTATTTAAAAAAAAATAACCGAGATAAATATGAAGATATCGATTGAGAATACAACATTCCCTATAAAAAATAATAACTTATTCGATATTTTTACACAAAAAAGCGTATATAGAGTAGCCGGTTTCAATGTAATCTAGCTAACTAGGTATACTATAATACGAGTATATATTTATATTATAACTTATATAAATACTTGCTGTTTTATCGCGACTTCCTCACTCACGACTTCGGTGAAAGAATTTTTGTGATCGGACCAGTATTTCCGAAGACTACCCCCTATAAATAAATAAAATTAGAAACTACCTGTTTATAATATTTATATAGATAACCTGAAAACAAATATGTCATTTGCTTATAATATAGCTTTATATAGGTTAACGAATTTCTATAATTAAAAAAAGAAATAAATTTTTAGTATAATAAATCTATAGTACTAACAAAGAATAGCAAGTACGATCTGAAAATTATGGTAATATACCTACATTATGTAGGTAAAGACGTCTGTGTAAAAAAAAAAACATTTAAAATGTTTAGTCGATACACGACTCTTTCTAATTTTATGGACATAAATTTAGACACGAAGAAACTTATCAGCTCTTAGTGATAAGGACATTTAGGTACATAAACCTATGTCGTTTCCCAATGAATATTAACAAAATATATGAATAATTATGTGTACATACAAGAGTTAATATATACCTTTTGATAAACTTTAAATAAGCGTAGATTGTAATAATAATTTAGTGCTATACTCCTGATCTGTTTTATGGTAAAATCATTATTAGAAGTTATTGTTTGACGGCCTTGTCTGTTTGTCAACGAATGAAATTTCGTTTAAATCATATCCTCGAAGATTATCTTTGCATCAGAGATAGTACATATACCATCGTTTCATAATAAAACATCGAAATATGCCTTTCTTTGTAATATTAGCTGTTCTAAAATAAACGAAAATTTCATTTTCGGAGAAAAATAGTAGGTTCTCTGGTACGTTGTGGAATCTCCAGAAAATAAATGTATTTATACTTTATATAATATACTTTATATTTCATATTCCCTGTATTCAATCGGAAAGAATTATTTATAAAAAAGATTGCCGACTTAATGGTAACCCTATACTTCGTTGAATTTCCATCTAATTCCTTCACAAATGATAATTAGTGATTTTCTCTAACTAAATTAAATTTAGCCACCATATATCTTATGACTACACAATATTTTCAATTATTCTCAACGTTTAATACTAACCTGGGATGGGAATAATTCTAAACGTGTTCTAAACGAAAATTCGTTATAAGCGTTAAATAAGTATTCAGTGAGCAGGTGTGCACTATTTCACATACCCTTTTCAACCCGTGCCCAGATAATACCGTTAGAAAGAATTTATAGATAATATTGCCTTACTAAGTAATGTACTGTTTCTTAAAATATAAATTGCGTAACCGCACAAATAGATTCCTTTGCTTCGTTATTTATAAAGTCTTTCTTTTTCTGGTATTCCTTGTTTGTCCGTAAGTTAAGAATTACTTCTCGATCACGTTATGTTTTAAATGCGGTTTTCATTGTTTCTTTCCAATTCCTTGAGGAATGCTCATTATCCATACTGACCCGGGTAGGGCAATTAATCCTATATTTGTCTTAGTAGCTAGCTTTCAACTCCCACCTGTCCTGCCAGAATACTAGCGTTTTTGCGGGAGATTTCGCTCAAACAATTGATCCTTACCGTGGCGACACAAGCTGAGGTAGGATCCTGATTAAAATATACGTATGTTAGTTCAATGTTACCTTAGTACATTTATTATTTTGTTTAATAAATGTACATATTACAAAATGTACATAAAAAAAATAATACAAATAGCGGACTTAATGCCAAGGGCATTCTCTACCAGTTAACCTGAGCGAATGTTGGATTTGCATGTTAGGCGATAAAGATTGATATATCCAGTATAAAATTTAAAAAAAAAAAATATTGAATAATTATTACATAAA